ACGGGGAACGGCTTGAGCCAAAATGGCTACGGGAGGAGGAGGGAGGAGGAGGAGGAGGAGGAGGAGGAGGGGGAGGACGAGGAGGAGGGAGGAGGAGGGGGGGGAGGAGGGAGGGAGGAGAATGAGGAGGAGGAGGGGGAGAGGAGCAGGAGGAGCAGGAGGAGAGGAGGAGGAGGAGAGGAGGAGGAGGAGGAGGAGGAGGAGGAGGAGGAGGGGTCGCCTAAGCCCTTTCTCTCCGGGCCTTTTGATGCGGCGGTGCCACGACGGAGGGCAGGCAGACAACAAGTGCTGTCTCGGGCGCGGCGGGCGGCCTCGCTGGCCCGCGTATTCGCGCTGCAGTCGCGAGAGCGCCCAAGATACAGGGATGCCTCCTGCGTCAAAGGACAGAAACACATAATCATGAACTTCTGGCGCTCCGCGCGGATTTCTTGGATCCGCGCCTGGGCCCCCCCCCCGGCCGCGTCTCCGGTCCCGCCCCTGGCGCGCTTCGCGCGCCAGGGAGGGGGGTCCAGCGCAGATCCAAGAAATCCGTGCGGAGCGCCAGAAGTGTATGGTTATTCCCCAAACAGCTTGCTGAACGGGGTGCTGTTGTGATAGAAGCTAACTCCGGCCGAGGGAAAGCTAAGCAGAGACATCCTCAAACAAATGTGGTGGTCCGGCCCGTTTCGCCTTAGACATCCTCACAACTCTCGTTTCTGAGTTGTCCGGGATTGAGCGTTTCGCCTGAGACATCCTCGAAAAGTTGCGCTCCGGGACGCCGCGCGAGAGGTGGTCCGGGCCGTTTCGCCTGAGACATCCTCAAAAAGTTGCGCTCCGGGACGCCGCGCGAGAGGTGGTCCGGGCCGTTTCGCTTGAGACATCCTCGAAACTCTGAGCCCCGAGGTGCCGTGCGAGAGGTGGTCCGGGCCGTTTCGCCTGAGACATCCTCGAAACTCTGAGCTCTGCGATGCCATGCGCGAGGTGGTCCGGCCTATTTCGCCTAAGACATCCTCGAAACTCTGACTTCGGAGATGCCGCGCGAGAGGTGGTCCGGCCCGTTGCGCTTGAGAAATCCTCGAACTTCTAAGCTCTGAGATGCCCTGCGCGAGGTGGTCCGGCCCGTCTCGCCTGAGACATCCTTGCAATTCTGAGCTCTGAGATGCCGTGCGCGAGGTGGTCCGGCCTGTTTCGCACAAGACATTCTCGCAACTCTGAGCTCTCAGATGCTGCGCGAGAGGTGGTCCAGCCTGGGCGCCCAGAAGACCACATGTGACATATCCTCCATGGGACCCTGCGAGCCTCAGGAGGCCCCAGAGAGGTCCAGGAGGCCGCAGGACGCCCAGGACAGGCCCCAGGGGCCCCCAGGAGATTCCCAGGAGGCTCCCAGGAGGCCCCAGGAGGCCCTCTATCAGAACGTGTCAAGTTAATACACATCCAGTGTCGATTCGTTGATTTTTCCTGCTCTTGTGCCCCCCCCTCCACTTTGACGGGCCCACGCGGCCACAGGTTAGATATCCCCCCTGGGAGCCCCAAGAGCCTTCAGGAAACCTCAGGTGGAGTTCAGGAGGCCACAGGAGGCCCAGGAGGAAGCTCCAGGAGGTCACCAGGAGGCCCCAGGAGGCACCAGGAGGCCGCAGGACGCCCAGGACAGGCCCCAGGGGTCCCAGGAGGCACCAGGAGGCCGCAGGATTCCCAGGAGGCTCCCAGGAGGCCCCAGAGGCTGCCTATCAGAACGTGTCAAGTTAATACACATCCGGTGTCGATTCGTTGATTTTTCCTGCTCTTGTGCCCCCCCCTCCACTTGGAGAGGCCCAAATGGCCACAGGTTAGATATCCCGGCTGGGAGCCCCAAGAGCCTTCAGGAAGCCCCAGGTGGGGTCCAGGAGGCCACAGGAGGCCCAGGAGGAAGCCCCAGGAGGTCCCCAGGAGGTCCCAGGAGGCCCCAGGAGGCCCCCGCAACTCGGAGCTCTGAGACGCCGCGCTCGAGGTGGTCCGGCCCGTTTCGCCTGAGACTTCCTCGCACCACGTTTCGCCAGAGACATCGTCGCAACTCTGGGGTCCGAGATGCCGCGCGCGAGGTGGTCCAGCCCGTTACGCTGGACACATCCTCGCAACTCTAGGCTCCGAGATGCCGTTCGGGATGAGGAGGTGGAGGAGGAGGAGGAGGAGGAGGAGGAGGAGGAGGAGGAGGAGGCATGTTTTAACATGCCATGCCAGCCCGCACTGGACGGGCACGCAATCGACCTTGGAAACCGCAGTGGGTCGAAAAACCCTGTTTGGGGATACTGCACTCCGGCTATAATGTGTTTTTGTTATTCCTCTACTCTGGGGAGCACGGCGGAGAACTTTTACAGCGTGTCGCGGCGGCGGCGGCCCCTGCGACACGCAAAGCTTTGCAAGCTGACAGCGCGTCGCTCTGCTTCGCGGGGCCGGAGGCTGGGAAAAGCGCTGATGCTCGGGGACTGGGACGTCATTACTAGCGCGTTGCGCCGGAGGGTGGTGTGCCAGAACTGGTGGCGCGGCACGGTAAGCAAACGTTACTGACCGCACGGGGGCTCAACGGTTTCGACGCCGGGGTCTGAGCGAGGGCGAGGACGGGATGTGACCGCATGTCTTTCCAGCGCTCGGCGCCCGTCATGGCCAGGCACGGTGATCCTCCGCGCGCATCCAGCAGGTGGCCTCCTCGTGCTCATTGCGCGAATCTGGCCGTGTGTGCCTTCAGCCTCTTGGAAGCGGGTGCCGGGCATGCTGGCCCTCGGGAGAGGAGAGGTGGGTTCTCCCTCCTCCCCCCCTCCCTCGCAGCCCTTTCACCCCGCCTGGCCCGCCCTCCCACCCTGTGCCCCCTCCTTCCCTCCTTGCACCCTCCTCCCCATCGCTTCCCCTTTCTCGCTCCCCATCGCTTCCCATCACTCGCTCCCCTCCCCACACTTCCCATCATTTCCCATCACTCACTTCCTCCTCCCCATCACTTCCTCATCACTCACTCCTCATCACCACCTCGCCTCCCTGTCTCGCTCCCATCACTTCCCCCTCTTCCCCTCCCCTCACCTCCGTCCTCCTCCCCTCACTCCGCCTTCGTCAGGTCCGCCACTGGCGGGAGATCTTTGCTATCATCTGTCTCGTCATGCTGCTCGTCTTCTGCTTCCGGTGCGTGCGGCACCTGCAGCGGAACCCAGCGGCCCGCGACTACCACGCGGCAGGACTCTACACGTGCCTGAACACGTGCGACCTGCCCGACAAGGTGGACAACTGTACGCAAGGCTGGGGACATGCCGACCATGCCGTGCCGGCCACCGGTCTTGGCCGCGTCCGTCCTGGGCCCGGCACCGACTCGGGGCCCAGGCCCAGGTCTCCGACGACATGGTCCTTTCAATGCCGGCACTTCTCGTTGGCTTCGGCCTCTGTATTGAAGTTGCCATGTGCAGAGCAGCGATATTAGCACGTGTTGTGGCTCCCCACACCCCCTGTGCCCGCCTCGTGGTTTCCCACCGATCGGTGTCTGGGTCTCGTTGTCGGCCCCTACAAAGCGATCCCGGCCTCTGGGTCTCGTTGTCGGCCCCTGGGGGCAACAAAAAGGGCACCCGTGACGAACACCCTCCTTTGGGGAAGGGGTCGGAACCTCCGGGGCCGCGCATTTGGAAACAGTCGGGTCGTCGGATGTCTCGGGGGATGGGCCTGGCCAGGACTGGCGCCTCGGCGCGTGATCGGCAGCCTCCCCGCGCGCGAGGGCGGCACAGGGTGATTGTCATCTTGGTGGACGCTCCGCTGGAGGAGAAGACCGAGGACTGGCGGGGCGCGGGAGGGGGGCCGTCGAGGGGAGCGGCCTACCCCTGAGTGCCCCGCTCGGGGCGCGTTTCGTGGGGTCGGGCGGGGCACGCGGGGCGTGCTCGTGTACAGCGGGGGCCCGTGCCAAGGAACACGCTGCTTGCCTCTAGGGAGCCCTGGGCTGCTTGGGTTTCGACGGTTTTGCGGTGGAAGGCGCGGCGTTCCCACGCCAAACATCGATGGACGTCCTGGGGTCTCAGGGTTGGGTTTCTTGTGGAAGGTGTCTTGTGGGCTGGCCCCCACTGTACCCTCCTGCCTTCGAAGGAGCCTTCTTAGAAGGCTCTGGGCCCTCCGGAGAAGCCTCCGAGCCCTTCCTGAAAGACCGCACCACCCCCCTCGCGCTGACCCCTCCTTCTCCGCGCGCGCCGCCAGCGAGGACCTCGAGAACACCTCGACATATCCAGAGGAGAACGAGCTGTCCATCGTCTACGACAGCCTCCTGTCGCTGCTCGACAGCGGCCTCGCGGCCAAAGGCATGTTGCAGATCTTCATCGTGTCGAGAGGGGGCGCCGTCATCCAGGTGAGCGCCCAGGGAGAACGGGCTCGACTGCGCGGGGCGCTCGCGCCCGAGCTGCCCGCGCGAGGCCGCGCGCGAGCGCCCTCGTCCCCACGCCGCGCCCGAGAGGGCCTCGCCTCGGGCGCGCCCTCGCCCTCGAGAGGCGGACGCCGGCGGCACAGTTCGAGGCGGCGGGCGGGGGCCCGCCGGCGGCAGGCCGGCGGCAGGCCGGCGGCAGCGGGCGTGAGGCGCCCGCGCTCTCGCAGCCCGGGCTTCCGGCGTCGCCCCACTGCCGGGTGCCGCGACGGCGGCGAGCTCGGGGGCGGAAGAGAGGGGGGTGATGACTATAGGGGGGGGTGGATGTCATGGCGTGGGCCATGGTATTTCCCCAGATTTCATGGCGCCTCTTCTTATCTCATTACGTCCCTGGCCCCCCCGCTGGGCCCCGCACATGCCGCCGGTCATGATTGGCACCCCCCCCTCTTGGACACCCCCCTCTCTGCCGCTCCCGACGAGCGTGAGCCTTGCGCGCGAGGTCGCCACGTCCTCGCGCGCAAGGCTCTGTCCGTTTCGCCGGGCAGGTGCACCCCCACCTGGAGCCTCCGAGGAGCCTGCGGGACTTCTCCAGGCGGCCGGGGAGAAAGCCAGTCACCCGCCCTCCACGGACGAGGGCAGCTTCTGGCCCTTCCTGCCAGCGACCTCCAGGGACGGTGGGTTCGCTGGGAGGTCCGCGATTCGGCCAGTTCGGCTGCTTCGCAGTCGGCTGCGTTCGGTCGGTCCGGTTCGGTCGGTGGTCCGGTAGTCCTTGCCGCGTCGCTGCGCCCCTCTGGGCTGCTTGCAGCCTGTCGGTTCCGTTTGGCTTCGGTCTCGTTGCGGGTCCGGTTGGTTTCCGGCTGTGTTGCCGCCGTTTGCGGCCCTGGTTCGAGAGGCGGGGGGGCTCGATTCTGATGGGCCAGACTTTTGCGCTCGGCTCCGCCGCGCGGGGGCCGGGGCCAGAGGCAGCGATCGGCCACTGGCTCTCGGCCTAGGGTCTCTGGTCTTCCGAGCAGCTCTCGCGAGCCCCTGGAGTCAAGCAGTGGTGAAGCGTCCTGGCTTGCTTATGGACCCACCGAAGAATGTTCTACGAACCTTCTTTGTGGCTTGCACGAAATGTTCTTAGAACGTTTCTGGCTGAGACTGTCCTTCTTAAATGCATCGGGTGGGTCCGAAGAGCATCTCGTGGCAGGCCTATGGGAATGCCGGGACGGTCGGTCCCTGCTGTATATGGAGAGGCCTCCAAGACTCGAGGAGCAACCCGCAGAGCACGGGCGCAGCCTTTTTCGGAGGTCCGCGCGGAGGTCCTCGATTCGGCGCCGGGCCCGCCTCCCTGCAGGCGGGGGGGACTCCAGCGCCAGGCTTCGGTCGGGCATGTCCTGCTACAGGCGGATTTGGAAGGACAAATGAACACAGTCAGACACAAAGATAATCGAAGAGTGGTCGAATAAACGTCCCCTTACTGTTTCTTGAGTATGTCTGAGTACTCAGCCTGTTGAGGGACATGCCCGACATGGCGCCAGACCGAACAGTTCACGCGGATCTCCGAACGTTCATATTTGCTGTGCACGCCCTGTTGGTTCGTTCTTCCAACCCTGAGATCCGACGACGAGACATCCACATCGTGAGGCATCAAGCTCAGAGGCCCAATGGCATCCCAACGGTCTGCGCCACTCCTCGAGCCGGATCGGGCCGTAGGGGCCCACGGGGCGCGAGGATTCGGGCGAAACCGCCCGGAGTGAAAAAGTTGCGACGCCAGGACCTCAGGCTCGTCATCGTCGTCGTCGTCGTCGTCGTCGTCGTCGTCGTCGTCAAAGTCGTCGTCGCCGTCGTCGTCGCCGTCGCTGTCGCTGTCGCTGTCGCCGACGCCGTCGCTGTCGCCGTGGGGGCACGTCCGCGGCCGCCTCGAAGGCTGGTCAGGAACGTCCTGCACGAGGGCAAGGCGATGAAGGCCCCTGGGCTGTGTGGGTGCACCCGCTCGTTGATGCGCGTCGTGCGCAAGCCCGTGCGGCACCACTTGCCCTGGGGCTGCAAGGTCTACGGCGTGACGCAGCAGGCGGCCGGACGGCCTTGGTCGTGAATGGGAGGAGTTGGCGGCGCGCGCAAGGGGCGGGGGCGCGAGGGGGTTCTCAGAAGGCAGGCCGCTTTTCAGAAGCCACCCCAGCTTCCAAAAATACAGGGCTCATGAGGAGCCTCCATGCCCTTCTGAGAAGGCCCCCGCCTTCAAGAAGCACCCCGCCTTCTCAGAAGTCCGCCCCCCTCGCGCCATCCCCTTGGGCGCGCCGCCAACGGAGAGAGATTGCACTGATTTGTTGCGAGCCTCGGGCCCATCCACCTACGCGCGCCATGGGGGTCAAGGGCTTTCTGTGAGCGGCTCTGGGCTGCCAAGGCCTCCTCTGGTCTTTCTCCAGAGGCTCCCAGAATTTTGGAGCACACCTCTCTTGTGGCGGGTTAGGACGGTCGGCCGACGCGCTGGACCCTGGGCGGCACCTGTCGCGACGTTGGACACGTGCCGCGGTCGCGGACTCAGCAGGGCGAGGAGGAGAGGGGGGAGTGCGAGGACGAGGGGGGGAAGAGGGAGAGGAGGAGGAGGAGGAGGAGGAGGAAGAGGAGGAGGAGGAGAAGGATGAGGAAAAGGAGAAGGAAGAGGAAAAGGGAGGAGGAGAAGGAGGAGGAGGAGATGGAGATGGAGATGGAGATGAAGATTGAGATTGGGGAGGAGGAGGAGGTCCTCCTCCTGGAGGAGGAGGAGGAGGAGGAGGAGGAGGAGGAGGAGGACACAGGAGGGGAGGAGTAGAAGGGATTAAGGATGTACTTTGGGAGAGCTATTGGCCCCGATTTGGGGCCTCCGTAGGCTCTGAAGCCCACGGGCCCGTCGGCCGAGGAGTGGGGGGATCGCGTTCGGCAGCAGGTACCGCCCGCTCTTGGCGGCCAGTTCTGCGTGGGGAGGAGGGGGGAAGGGAGCGGGGGCACTCTCTGCGTGGGCCAGGCTGAGCTGCTGCTGCTGCTCCTCCTCCTCCCCTCCTCCTCCTCCTCCTCCTCCTCATCATCATCATCATCATCATCATCATCATCATCATCATCATCATCATCATCATCATCATCATCCTCATCCTCATCCTCATCCTCATCCTCATCCTCGATCTTCCACCCACGCACCTTCTCTCCTCCTGCACTTCGGCGCAGCTCTCGCTCGCACTGTTCGATGCATGGTGCTCATTCTGGATTGGCGAGCCTGGCAGGCTGCTTGAGGTGGGCAGTCTCAGCATCACTTCAAGGCGTACTCGAGGGCAATCTGGAAGGCGCGGTGTGAGGAGGGGCTGAGGCGGCAGGTCGGCATGCTCGCAAGACCCCTCCCACTACTCACTCTCGACGCATTCCCTCGGCCTGATCTCGTCCAGGCCCTCAAGCTGGACGTGCTGCTGGGTCAGCGTTTGCTGAGCAAGCTTCGGGGGCGGCTGGTTGCCCTAAGGCACTCCTCTGGGTCCTTCTCCTCGGCACGGAGGCAGTCTTGCGATTTCTACGGAGAGCACCTTCTGAGTCCCACATGATATGTCCTAGGGAGCTGCAGCTGGACGGAAAACGCCAGTTGTGCCTTTTGGGAGGCCAGTGGGAGCATGGTGGATCCCGACTCAAGGGAGGCTGCGGCCACGGTGGTTCTGTTGGCTGCCCCAGCTGAATTGGGGTACGCGGAGGCGGCGCTGCTGGCGTTCCATGTGGAGAGGGAGGCGGATAGCTTCTGGGCGCCAGCTGGTGGAAATGGGCGCGCCCTCTCTCCCTCTTCCTCATCTCCTGCCCTCCTTCGACCCTGCCAAGCGCTCCGGGTGGGCGTGTCAGGTCGGGCTGGGTCTCCCTTTCCCCTCCTCAGCCTTCTCCACTCCTCTGGCGCCCTGCTCTGGCTGCCGTGTCCGTGGGCTTCCTTGTCCTCGCCGCCGACGCCTTGGGAGGTGGTCCGGGCGAGGAGCCACACTCCCCTCTGAGGCTTGCACGAGAATGCAGATACTTGTTTTCGCATTTGCCGCACCCCACTGCAGGGTGCGCGTCTGGAGGCTAGACGCTTGAGAGTCGACCTGCGGCTTAGCAGGCTTTCCGCACCAATGAATGGCTCGGGATCGAGGCGCCACGCGCTGCGGCATGCCCGTTCCATGACAAGACCTTCGGAACATAACGAGCTCTGAGGCTTCGAACCTCCACCCAGTCCGGCGCTCCGGGTGGGCGGGTCGGGTTGGGTCTCCCCCTCCCCCTCCTCTTCCCTCCCTCTTCCCCCTGGGGTGGCTCCCTCCTTTCCTGCTGCCATGTCGTACTCGTGAGGTACGTCGACGAGACAGCGCAGATGAGGTCGGACGGGCCCCGGGCAGGTGCTCTCCTCTGCCTTCCCCCCCCCCCCCACACAGACGCACACTGCGGGGAGTGCCTGAGTGGCCTCTCCTGCCACGCCGCTTGCCGGGGCGTGTGTCGGAGGCGCCTGCCAAGGAGAAGCCTTCTCACGCAAGCCCTCCCCCCAGTATGTCTCCAGAGCCGGCGCGGCAAGGTCGTTTCCCGGGCCTTCCCGGACCGTGGTCCTTTGCTATAGGGAAGCCTCGCCCGAAGCTTCTGTATGCAGACCCGACGGGAACACATTGGTATCCTCTTCGTTTCTCCTCCTCCTCCCTCTCCTCGCTTCTCCTCCTGTTCTCTCATTATCCTTTTCCTCCTCCTCCTCCTCTTTCTCCTCCTTCTCCTCTTATCTTCAAGTCGACCTCCTCCCTCCCCTTCTCTTTCCCTTCTGTCGTCGTCATCATCCTCCTGCTGCCTCCTGTTCAAGATCGCAGCGGTGTTGGGGAGGCAAGTCTAGTCAGGCCATCCATTACATGCTGGAAGCGACGGGCCAGCATCTTCAGACGCTGCGCCACAGGGACATGAAAGCCAACCGGGACGAGTGGCGTGCCTGGGCCAAGCAAGCAGCTGAGGCGCAGGGAGGGCGAGCGGCCTTCGCCTTAGTCCGTTCGGCTGCCCATGTCCAAGGGTCGGCGTTCGAAGTGTTGGACGAGGATGAGCAGCAGTACCTCCCGGTGGGGGGCGTTGATGCAGTGGCGCGCGTCCTGAAACAGTGGCAGCAGCTTTGGGTACACGATCTGCGCGAGGGTGAAGTACATTCATAGTTGCGGCGAGGAGCTGAGTTCGACGCGGGGCAGCTGCCTGCGCTCACACGGGCCGAGCTCGAGCGGGTCGTGGACACGTACAGCGAGAAGGCAGGTGGGACATGCAGCATCCTCGTTATTTCGCCGGCTGCCAAAGAGTTTCAGGCTGCGGTTCTTTGATAACTTGCGAGCTTGGGAAGCCGATCCGCTGGACAGCAGGCTGTTCCTGATGCTGGTTTCGTTTTTGCCCAAACCGCCTCCAGGAGGTGGCGTGGCACGGCGTGCGCCCCGTTGTCCTCAACTGTGTCTGGCTGCGGATTTGGAGCAGGATGAGGCAGCCGCTGGTGGCGGCCTGGGAGCGCCAGATGGAGGGCAGCTTCTACTGGGGAGGCGTGGGCAAGACGTGCGACCGTGCGGGCCACGTGCACAACCTGCTGGCCGTTTACTGCGTGCAGCACTGGAGCATGGCGGCAGGCACGGCAGCCCTGGACCTCAGCAGGTACTACAAGCACGTCTCGCACGAGGCCCTCCTGCGCGAGGCGCGGCAAACGCGTTTTCCGCTCCCGCTGCCGCGGGCACTGTGTTGTGGCCACCGCCTGGGCAGGCGGGCGAGGCTCGCAGGGGCGCTGTCGGTGGATATCCGCGCCAATAGCACGATTCGCTGCGGGCTGCAGCTGCGCGCTGGGGCTCGCAAAGCTCATGGTCCACACGCTGCTGGTCGAGCAGGCGCCGAGGCTCCCGCTGGTGCGGGCGCAGCACCTCGTTGACGACCGGCTGCTGCAGGCCCCCGGCACCGCCAAGGTGGTCAGCGACCAGCTTCCGAAGGCGCTGCGCTTCCTCGTCGACGGGCTCGAGTCCAGGAAACTAAAGGTCAACTGGGCTAAGACGGGCTGGTTGACGGGCGATGAGGGGCTTGCCCGGGGACTCGAGAGTTGCTGGCAGGGCGAGCTGGAACGTGCCCGTGACATCAGATGCCTGGGCGGATGCGGCACGTCAGGAGTCCTCCGCAGCGTTGTCGAGCAAGGCAAAAGGTTGTTGAAGGCCTAGAGCTCAGCCGATAGGGTGCACGCTCTGAGGGATGCTGAAGCTTCGGTGGCCAAGGTTTCTCGTTGGTCCTCCGCGGCCGCAGCTGTCTGGGGATCAGCGGTCACGGGCATAGCAGGTTTGAAATGTAACTGATTAAGAACCCCTGTTTTGGAAGTCCAATGGTGACTTCCGACGGGGGCCAGCGTGGGCCTCAGGCTCAAGCGCATGTTTCGAGGGTTTTGGAGGGGCCCGCTCCTGGTGCACTCAAGTGAAGTTGTTCAAGCTTGGGCTCTCTGCCTGGAGGCTTCTTCGCCGTCGCCTCGGGGTCCCGGAGGCCGTCCTGGAGCGTTCTCGGGGCGTCGTGGGCGAGACGTCTCCGTGGGCAAGGCGCTGCAACCCTGCGCGGGCGCTGCTGCTTGCCCTTGCGAGAGTCGGAGGTCGGATGGTCTCTGTCCCGAAATTCGCCGGCCCTGCAGGTGAAGTCGATATGTAGTTTTTCCCGCCAGGCAGAGCGGTGGCAATCGCTACGGGGATGGCGCCCATCGCGTCTGACGCTCTTGCGATGAAGCGCTGCGGTAGTTGGGCTTCTGAGCCCCACTGGGCCCCCCTAGACGAGGTCCTGCGTGGGAAGGCGGAGGTGGGGCTCACTAGGCACGGGCGCAATCCAGTTAGGAGTCTGGTCTCGGGCGCGCGCTGGCCTCGGGCGAGGCTGGCGAAGCGTGGCGAATCGGCGTCGGATGCGCGTCAACTGCCCGGCTGTCGGGGCACTCTGTCCCATCGGAGTTTCGATTGCCCGTGCTCAGCAGGTTTCAGGCGCGCGGGTTTGTTGCCCTCCCTCAAGAGAATTGCCTGGGAGGTGGCGGTCCTTGATGAGGAAGAGGGTGAGTTTCTCCTCCCCCGAGGTGCGCGTTTCCTCCTCCGAGGCAGTGTCGAGAGGCCCGAAGCCCCAACGTAAAATTGGGCGCGCTTCGGGGGGGCCGCGCCAGGCTGGAGATGGGGAGGCCCCATCTTCGTGGATGGGCCAGCCTCCCATGCGGAATTCGTTTCGTGCAGGAGAGCAGGCTGGGCCGCAGTGCAGATTGACCAAGCCGGCCGCTTTGTCGCCTGCATGTATGGGGCGGTGCCTCGGGGGCGGGGGCCTGACCAGTGGGCTCGGTGCGGGGGAGACTATGCTTCCACGTTCTTGCTAGGTTTAGTGGGCCTTCTCAGGAGGGAGACGTCGGCGTTCCGCTCACTGTGCGCAGTGATTGTGCCGGCTCAATCTCCTGCCCCACCTCCTCGGCCATTGCCTTCGACCCAAGCAGCGAGAGGCGTCGCATGCGGCAGCCGCGGTGGTCCAAAGTCGGCCAGTCTGCTACGGCGTGCAAGGTCAAAGCCCATAGGTCGCCGCAGGAGGCCACCTCCTGGGATGACGGGTGGCAGCTCAGAGGGAATCGTCTAGCGGACGAATGGGCCAGGAAAGGGGCCCAGCTCTGGTCCACGCAGGTAGAGCAGGAACTTTTGGTCGAGGGATGTGAGCGGTTCGTGGTGCACGCGGCCGAGTGGCAAGGCAGGCTCCATCGCTGGCTCCACGATTCGGGCTTCAGCGTCGGTGGGGCGGCCGAGGTGGTCCTTCAGTTCCATGCTTGTCCGACCAACGTGGAGGAGGCGGATCTAGTGAACGAACTGGATCAGCGCCTGGCCCAGCGTGAAAGGGAAGGCCTCCTAGAGGCCATGCCTGCTGGGGGTGGGGGAAGCGGCTCTGGGTAGGGCGCGGCTCGGCTCTGATTATGCTGCTCCCGGCTCCTCCGTTGGCTCCTCGGCTTCTGCTCCTGACCTGGCGCCCCACCTCTCGGGGCTTAGGTGTGGGGGGGGAAACACTTGGCAGTTCAAGAGGCAAAATGTGGTGCGCTTCCAGTTTTGGCATGTGTCTCAAGTGGTGCGAGTGTTCAAAGCTGCCGCGGGCCAGGGAAAGGGCTGGCTGTCAGTGTTTCGGGCCCAGGCATCCTGGACCCGCCACTCAGCGCAGCAGGCTCAGACGTAGCTTGCACCCCAACTCCACCAGCGCCCCTCCCCCTAAGCTCGGCGAGCTGTGTGAGCCGTCGGTTGAGATCCGGGCCTTGTGGCAGGGTATGCTGGTTGTTTCCGAGTCCTCGGAGAGTGCTGACCCAGCGGTCAGTACCGTGTATGGGTTGAACACCCCCGGTGTCCTGGATATGTACCGTGTCGCGCAGCTGCACGGGTTTGACGATCCGCGGGAAGCGGTCGAGTTTCGCTGTGCTGAGCGCGAACGCGAAGCCAGACTCGAGAGGAGTGCTGGCTCAGACGTGCTTAATTTATTATTAAATTTCGCTGTGAGCCCCCTAGTGTCCTACGGTCCTCCTGCTCCTCTTCCCTCCCATTCGATCCTCCTACAGCTTTTCAATATGACTACTATTCTCCTCTCCCCTGAATACGGCTGGGGAGAGGCCCGCCCCCTGCGTTCAAAGCGGCGCTGCCGCTCCAGCGAAGGCCTCATTTTAGCATCGGCGCTTTGCTCCCATCGTTCAGGCTGGCGCTCTCGCCCCAGCGCGGGCCGCTCATGTGGATCAGAGTGTTCGTCGTTGTCGCCCCGCTCCTTTCTCTTTCCCGCCTTCCCTTGGTCATCTTGCTCCTCCCGCTTCTCCATACTCCAGCTCCTGCTGCTGATGTTCCTCCTCGTCGCCTTCCGTCCTCATCCTCCTCCCCCTCCTCCTGCTATATCCTGCTCAGCCTCCTGCTCATCCGTCACCTCCTTTTCTTGTTTTTTGTCTCGATGGGTTTCTTTTTGGACTTCGAGGTCCGCAACGACAGGCGTCGGCGGATGGTGGGAGAGGTCTGATGTCAGATATGGCGGGAGCTCACCTAGCTTCTCCCCCTCTCTCCTGACCAGGCGTGCCGAGACCAGGCGAGCCACATCCTCGACCTGAAGCAGGTCGCGAGCTCCGTGTACTGGCCCGTCGCCTTCGTCGTCGGCGCCTCGTTCGGCGATGCCGTGGCGGAGAATTGGACGAGTGCCGGCGGCCAGGGCCTCCAGGTTCCCTCTCTTCCTCCTTCTCCTCCTATTCCTCCTCCTCCTCCTCCTCCTCCTCCTCCTCTTCTTCATCCTCCTCCTCCTCCTCTTCCTCCTCCTCCTCCTCCTCCTCCTCCTGTGTCTCCTCCACATCTTCCGTATAAGCAACTCCTCTCCGTCGCACCATCAGTAGGGCGGGTCAGGCTTTTCGCCGAATTAAAAGCTCCACACCATTGGTGGTCTTGAAGTTTGAAATCTGCAGCGGTTTTCAAGGATGGAGGGCGTGCTATTTTACAAACTGTGGCTCTCGCTTTTGCGCCGCGCGCCTTCGTCTTCAAAACTCAACATCAGCTTCAAGGATGGAAGGCGGATGGTTTGCAAACTGTGGATGTTGCTCTTGCGACGCGCGCATTCGTTTTGAAGTTTTGCGGCAGCCTCAAGGTGTCCTCTAAGAGCTACCCCGGCTCACCCGCCGCGCGCAGCCGCGCCTCACCCAGTCCCGCTCAGACTCCCCTCGCTGCTTGCGATGACTAGACGCTGCACCCTTGTGTCTCGTGGGAGGCGGCGTGGATGCCCCGGCGCTTTCGGGAGGCGCCCTGTGCGCCGCGCGTGCTGCTGCCGCTACCGGCGCGGGCGCGGCAGCCCCGGCCGCCGCCGATGTCATGGACGAGGCTTCGGAGGAGCAAGTCACGTGGACTGACGCAGGCCGCTGCCAGGCTGGCGGTGTTCGATCCGCTGGCCGCGCCGCCTGGCGCCGGCACCGCGGCTGCCGGAGACTCTAATGCCGACCCCCTCCGCGACACGCTCTTCCAGGAATGGGCGCACCAGGAGATCCTCGTGCACTTCGAGCTGATCCACGCGATGGTTACCAGCAGTATTACGATCAACGACCTCCCGATCGCCCTTCCCACAAACCTCGACGCCCTGAAGGTGATCTATAAGAAGTTGGCCTACGTGGTCGGCGCCGCGGACCCGTGGTTGTACCTTGGCCTCGCCCGCTTCGAGGGTCTCACCCCGTCGGAGCAACTGATTGCTGCGCGCTTGCGCACGGCCCTTGGGCGGATTGGATCCGTGGGCGGAAGAAGTTGAAGAACCATGGGCGGATTGGATCCGGCGATCCACGCGTGCCGCGGAGGAGTGTCTGAAACGGCTCAATATCGATGACTGGAGACACCTGGCAACAACGGAGGCCGCCGAATGGGCGACACTTGCTTTAAAGTGGACGCCGGAACTAGACCTCCGATACAACGCTACCCGCAGAACAGGGCGGCCCAAATTTAGATGGATTCACGACTTGCGACAGTATTTGTGTGCAGCGTGCGACGACGCAACACTCACTCACTCACTCATGCCATACGCCGGAGCGCGTGGGCGAAAGAAGACAAGACAAGGCCAGCCGATTCTCACCGCTTTGCGGGAGCGGCGGCACTACGGCGGTCGCATAAAACACAACGTGCGCGGCAGCAGGAGGAGGAGGAGGAGGAGCAGGAGGAAAGAGGGAAGACAAACGGCCGGCGTAGCAGGAGGAGCACGACGCAACGACGACGACAATCTTAATTACCAGATTTCATGACGTCACCGTCCTCTCCATCATCCATCACACCAGCGCAATTATTTTCCATTGCTTCCACGACGGTGTGGGAAACTCTCGAGGAAGGGTTTGTGCGCAGACCTTAACCATATGTGGTGCCCAGACTTGTCTTACCACCTCACCACCTCACCACCTCCAACTCGTCTCTTTCCGACTCCGGATCCGATTTACCGGACTCGTCTCTCCGACTCCGGCTCCTGCCTCTCCGACCCCTGCGTTTCTCTTTCCGACTCCGGCCGTGCCGATTTCCGGTTCCAACCTCACCGACTGCGGCTCCGACGCCTACTCTTATCTCTCCGACTCTGGCTGCCACTCCCCGACCCCAGCCTCTCCGACTCCGGCTACCATCGCCGTTCCGAGTCCTGCTCGTCTCTCCAACCCTGGTTCCACCTGTCCGACTCCGGCTCTCGTCTTTCCGACTCCGGCTCCCGCCCCTCCGACTGCAGCTCCAACGATCGACCCCGTCTCCCCGACTCTGGCTGCTGCGTCTCCGACTCCTGCACGACTCCCGATCAGCTCGCTGATACGACTCCCGATTCCCCGAATCTGGCGGCAGTTCTTGGTCTCTCCGACCCCGGCTCCGACTCCGGCTCCCGTCTTCCCGACTCCGGCTCTCCCATCACATCCCTCCGACTCCAGCTCCACCTCCAATTCCCACTCCGGCTCTCCCATCACATCCTTCCGACTCTGGCTCCGATTTCGGGTCCCATCTCTCCGACTCCGGCTCTCCCATCTCGTCTCTCCGACTCCGGCTCCGACTCCGGGTCCCGACTTTTCAGACTCCAGGTCCTATCCCATCTCTCCGACTCCGGCCCCGATTCTTGTCTCCATCTTTCCAACGATGGTCCCGACTCTGGTCAAATGTATCGGGTTGTGGCGGTACGTGTGGTTTTTCTTCTCCGACTGCGGCTCCGGTACCCACTCCCATCTGTCCGACCCGGCTGCCATTTCCCGACCCCGGCTTCTGAGCGGCCAGCCTATTCTGGCGCCCCGGTGCCCTCCCGCCGCACCCTCGTAGGTGCCTCGACGCGGGCTCTTGTCTCTTGTCTTGTCTTGTCTTGCGCACGGCCCTTGCCCTCTGCGACTTGACGCTCAAGGCGCCCCTGTCCGCCGCCGACCGCACCAGCATCCACCAGATCGCCGGCGAGGTCCGCGGTGCGGCTTCGACTTGTGGGAAAGAGCTCTTGGGGGTATTGGCAGAGCGGAAGAAGCTCAAGCCGATCAAGCTCCCACTCTGGAAGGAGCTGGGCGCTGCCGCTCTCTCCCTTCTCCGCGCCTCCGCTCCTCTCGGCCATCAGGAGGTCCTCCTCGCGCAGTGGTCTTGCATCCTCGACAACGGCAGCAACAACGACAGCGAGGGCGATGTGGCTGTGTCCCGCCGTATCTCCGAGCTCTCGGAGCAGGGTGACGAGATCTCAGGGCGTGCGGCCTGACAGCTGGACAACATTCGGTGGCTTGCACCCCAAAAGATGCTGGTGCTCGCGCCCGGCTCCTGGCATCGCTCCTGCGGCGAGCGGACCCGGCCAGGCGCCCATCCAGTTTGCTGATGGTGGCGCCCCTCCCGCCCTCTCACGGCATGAAGGACGTTGTGGGCGTCACGGACCTGTGGTCGCACCCGTTCCTCGGAGACAATTGGGCGTCCGTGGTCTGGTCGCAGCGTTTCTGCTCGCAGCCCTTGGAGCTGATACCGCCTGGCCGGAATCAGCCACGGCACGTCCAGATGGGCCTTGCGCTCTTCGGTATCTCGATGGACATGCCGCGCCAGATGCCGCGCGTGGTCGAGGCCTTGACGCCCTTGTTCATGATCGAATCCTCCATTATCGCGACGTTCGATATGCCCTCGGACTACCTCCCGAACCCCCCCCCCCCCGTTAGCGGACCCGCGCTTGGAGATCCTCGCGGTGCGCAAGCCCCGACGCAGTCCGAGTAGCTCGCAGGGCGCTCCGAGGATTTGCTTGGATTTGGTTTTCCCCGCGCAGTGCGCCGAGCTGGGCGCCATCGCCATCCTGAGCCGCATCCGCGCTTCGCTTCTGCCGTCAACTGCGCACTTCGCGCTGGGCACAATCTACGACAACAGGGAAGCCATGATCTTAGAGTTCACCCTCCCAGACTGCATCCCGCGCTTCCGGCCCCTATGCGTGCAGTTGGTATTCCTCTCGCGCACCAAGGCGCTCGTCTTGCCACGCGCTGCTTCGGGCACCTGGGGGAGTGCGATGGATCAAGTTTTCAAGCACGACCCCGAGGTCTCCGCCTCCCGTTTTCGCTGCCGTCCGTCGGCCTACGGCGGCCGCCCCGCGGCGCCCCCCTCTGCGACCGCCGCGGCGCTGGCGGCCACCCGTCGGGCGGCACAGGCAGGAGAAGGCATCGGGGACATGGCGGAGATCGCTATCAAGGGCGAATTGGGCGATTGCGATGCCCATGGATCAAGTGACGCCGCAGTTCGGCGCGGTGCTCCAGGAGGCCGTCGAGGCACATGGGCTGCGCCCTGGGCAGTACTTCCCCCTCCAGGCGCGCGACTTCTACGCCCCGCCTGGACGTGCCCGCGCCCGTCTGCGGGACCGGGAAGAGGTGCGCAAGTTGCGCGCGGGGCTGCACTGGCAGATTATCAGGGTCGGCAGTGACCAGGCCCAGGTGGAGGTCCTGAGCGACGCGCTCAATGCGGTGCGCGGGACGGGAAACGGGGCAGGGGCGTGGATCTAGTCCAGCCCACCCACGCTCCGACGATTATGGGGGCATCTCCCAGCTGGAACGCTGGGGCGCAAGTAGATGCATATCCTTGGACGGGGCCCCGCTGGCTCATCGAGGTCGCATTCTCCCTCCGCGTGGCAGCCGCCGCGCCGAGCGAACGAGGCCCGCCTGATGTGACTTCTCCTGGTCCGCGTGCGTCCACATTGAGTTTCTCGAGGTGTTCGAATTTGTTGCATGTTATCGACGGGTTTTCTGTTCCTCCTGATCGGCCCCTGCCTCCGCTTCCTTGTCTTCTTCCCTGCTGCGACGCCTGGCAGCGCTATCTGGGCTGTCCAGGAAACGACGTCCCGCTCGCCATGTATTATTTCCTTCGGGTCCGCCGGGCTCTCGGGGCCTTCGCGATCGCCGCAGCCGGGCCTCTGCTGAAAGCCACCCCGCCGGCGCCCGCGGCTAGCTCCACGCGGCGGCTCGGACAGTTCAGGGGGGCCCTTTCGGTGGCCCTGTGGAACGCGAGAGCTTTCTTCGCGGTCGCGCAGGGCTGGCAGGAGGTCAAGGTTTCGCACGCGGGCTCGCTCCTTAACCGCGCGCAGGTGGTCATGGCCACGGAGGCTCACGGAACAACGGGCGCCCGCGACATCTGGCGCCCCCCCCCGGCGCCTCGTCGCGGTGGTCGGCGGGCGCTACGACCGCCCGCGCGTGGGTCCGCATCATCGCCCAGGACGCGTTGCCCCAGGAGTCCGACCCGC